CCCGGGGGCTCCGCCGCGGCCGTGCCGGGGGCGCTGGCCTCAGGGTCCGTCGGGAAGGGCCGGCCCCGCCGCCCGGGAGCTGGCGCAGGGGGAGCGATTGCTTGCTGCAAATCCAATTCCCCTGCAGCGGGAGCCGATTTTTCTCTCCCTCTTTTAATTCAGTCACTCAAGCTGACAGCTACACTGTGTACCGCAGCCCGGACAGGATTGCGCTGCCATATTTCCCCTGTAAATCTCCCGTGTGTCAGCTCTCCCTTTCACTCTCCAGTCGACTGATAAATATTCATTTTATTGGGGGATTTTTCATTTCTCTCTCTCTCTGCAGCTCGTCCCGCTCATTGGCTTCATCAGCGTGGGCCTGGGCAGCGCTGTCCTGTACCTGCTGCGCCTGGCCCTGTACAGCCCCGACGTCAGGTACAGGGGGCCATGTCCCTGCCGCACCAGGACAGCACCAGCCCCACAGCCCCAGCATGGCCAGACGGGGCGGGATGGGAAACCGGAGGCCCCGCTCTACTCCAGAGAGAGGCACTGGGAAAGGGCAGAAGGAGCAGCACGGACGGATGGATGGACGGATAAATGCAGTTGTGAAGGAGAGGGCGGAGAGGGAGGGAGGGATGGGGCCATGGATGGGTAGGGGGATGGATAAAGGGATGGAGGGAGAGAGGGAGAGAGAGAGGGAGGGAGGGAAGGAGGGATGGATGGTTAGATGGATAGGGGGATGGATGGAGGGAGGGAGGAATGGATGGGAGATGGATGGATGGAAAGATGGATGGATAGGGGAATGGGTGGATGGATGGAGGGATGGAAGGATGGATGGGGACATGGGTGGATAGGAGGATGGAGGGAGAGAGGAAGGGAGGAAGGGATGGGGGGGCAGGGGGACAGAGGGCTGGAGTGAGGCCTGGGAAGGCTGGTGGGTGGAGGGATAGGCGGAAAGCAGAGGAGTGGGGATGGACACATTGCTGGGCAGATGGAGGGACAGCCGGGCGCCAGCTCGTGCCAATCTCACGTCGCTTTGCTCCGGGACCGGCCTCATCGACCCCTGGTGCCAGGGTGTCGAGCTCGGCCACGAACAGCTCCCAGCCCCTTATCCGCGATCGCACGAGCCCAGGCCAGGGGAACAGACACAGCATCAGCCCCCTGCTCTTCTCATTGCACACTGATGCTCTTGAGGTGCTGGGGGTGCCACCCCCCTCCCCCCCCGCTGCAATCTGCTGCTTCCTGGATGGAAAATGCTGCCGGCGGCCAGCGGATCGCAGGGCCAGGACCTGCCTCCCCCCGGAAATGGCCTGTGACCCCCATGTGTCTTGGGACCTCAGGGCCCAGAATGTGGCTCTCCGGGCGGGAAGCCAGGCTGGGGGCTGGGAAGAGCTTCCCCCCTACTCCGCAATCTGCCTCCTCCATGGACACGAACACGGTGACACCCCAGATTCCAGGGGAACCAGCCCCGGGGGGGCATCAGAGGGGTGAAATGAGAGGAGCTGGTGTGGGGCAGGGGGGAT